CTTGTGTGCTGCCACTGATGTAAAAGTGTAATGTCAATAAATATTATTATTATTATTATTGTGTCTAATACATTATGTTGTTATCTGGCAGTTAAAGACGACTGAAAGGGGAAGGCTAAAACTCGGGCCGTCTCGATTGACTCGACTCGAAATCCCATGATGCAGAATTTAGGAGGTCAAAAGGTCATCAACCAAAGACGTTTATTCTCTTGTACATGTCTATCCAAAACTCTCTGCCCATAATAGGGCCTATGTGTAATTTTCTAGCCTAGTACAAATTATCCAAAACCTAGGCCTAACTAAAAAAATAAAAATGTTCACAGTATGTAACTCAAGGATCAAATAACACTTTTTACTACTCGTGCAGCAGCTCAATCAAATATTACATTTGTCATTTTAAACGGCCCATTAGTTGTATAGCATGGTAACAACAATGTATTTTTTAAAAATCAGACAGCAACATCATCTTATACCAAAGAGGTTCTTACTCTCAACACAGTTTTAGAAGGCGGCTTTCAGGGGAAAGCACAAAGAAAAGCATATTTGATCAAATGAAACAGGTTGACAGTTATTTTCAAATTAAAAGAAAAGCTGGAAATAGACAGCTATAAATAAATCGGTAAGATTTCATAGGCCTACCGTAGGTAAACATAAAGAACAATAATAGTAATACTCGAGCGTTACGACATTGCGAAGTGCCTGTTCTTGTTCGAAACGGCCCAAGTGGAGTTTCATGCAAATGTATGTACGGGGAAAAAATCGCAATCCGGTGGAGGTGCACGATTTTTTCCCCGTACATACATTTGCATGAAACTCCACTTGGGCCGTTTCGGACTGATTGACCAGACTGAGTTCGATGTGTATTATTACTGTACAAAAGTACAGCACCACACATTTTCCTGATTACCGAATCCCATGTGGATAGGCCTACTTTATTAGTAACATCCATAAGGCAGTATAGGGCATCGCATAGACATACGCTCCCCCGCTGGGAGCCTATTTTCCCTGCCAATACATACTTTGCCCTTTACAGTACATGCATTACAGCATAGGCGTAGATCCCGGGGGATGGGGATATACCCCCCCCCCAATATTTGACAAGGAGGGGGGGATGGTCCATTGTATCATCCCCCCCCCATATTTTGACTATGTATGGGATAAAATGAAGTTTTACACACTTAAAAACTGTCACAGAAATAATTTGCCTGTCTTATGCGCTTACAAAGATGAAAATTAGCATAATTTATTAATGTTGATAACAAAATTATTTTATCTGGTACCAATATAAGCTCTTCTTTCCTTAGATGTTAGATGTGCTTGCAAAGAAAGCCACATTTCACACTCAAGGGTGTGTACGACATCAGTAATATTATGTCAATTCCAAGAATGTTTAAGGGTATATCGGTTGATGAGGAATTTATTGATTAGGCCTATAATAGCAAATTGCATCAATTTATTTTGCAAAAACAGGAATTCCAGCTTCAGATGGGGACACATTCCCTGTCCGCACAAGGGCACACATTGGCGCCAACACCAGGCGCGTAACAGGGGTCTTGGGTCAGAGTGGGTACGGTAGTTGTTTTCCCGGTTAGTAATTTATCATACCTACCCCAGCCCACCCCACTCCCCATATAGAAAACAATACGACATACGGTTGGGCTTATCATATTTATAATATAGGCCACACACGTGTGTTTGAAACTAAATAGAAGCATTATCATCATTGTTTTATTTATTACAAACATATTCTTTCACCATCAATACATATTGATGCCTGTTTTTAAAGTTTAAAACGATCTTAAATTTGTCTTTCTTGAGTTTGGGACTATTATTAGGCCTATGTGTTTAAATAACTTAAAAAGATAATCCTAAACAAGCCCTAAAAAATGCGCGCGAAGCGCGCAAAATACTTTTGTGTTTTTAATTCTAATTTCGTCGGAATTGATGAAAACTCCATAAAATATGCAATTTTATAGAGGAAATTGGCCTACCACCGTAACAAGAAATACGAGCAAAGAATTTGAGAACTTTAGGCACTTTCAGAGGATGCATTTGTCAAGGTGGGGAAAGATTTTCCGAAGATGGATATTTTTACCTTGACCCCCGGTGTTTTTAATTCTAATTTCGTTGGAATTGATCTAAACTCCCTAAAATGTGTAATTTTAAGAGAAAATTGGCCCATGCCAACAAGAAATGCGCGCGAAGCCCCTGGCTCTCCGACGATCTGAGAAAATTGTTAAGCTGTTTTAAAACGATTTCAGGGAGCGTTTGTTGACAATACCGGATACGGTACATAAACAAAAATATTTTTAATAAAGCCACGTACAATTTCAGTTTCAATGTACATTATGTTTAAGTTGAGAACCCTAACTATGTACACAAACATTTCATTACTTCAACAAAAAACGAAGAGGCATACTGATATTTTTTTAACGCGTCAGTGAATTAAGTATTGACGTAAATAATGTCTAATGAATCAAGTTACTGCATGACCGTTTTCGTATTCTTATTAAAACCAATTTCTTCTAATTTTAAATACATTTTCCCCATTCCCCGTGATAATTTGTTATCACTCATATACTTTTTCTAAATGCGTGACAAATTTATGATCACGCATGTGTTTCTGCA